TGATGCTTTCTAGTTCTGTATAATCAGGTATGGACTAGCTTAAGTTCTTTGTCCACTTATTTCCCATCATAATGCCTGAGTTCTTGGACCATATTTTAATTTGTAGTAATGTTTTGGTAGAAGCAAAAGTAAAGTCTCGCTGTTTGTCTGTTTTACCAAAAGCTGTAGATTGCTTTAAGTAGGAGATACACTTTTTTTTTTCCAAATGGTGTGGGGTTTTTTTTTCTCAGTCTTTAAATTCATGCAACTATTTTTTTTTTCTTTCAATGTTTTTGGCTTGAGAGGCAATCCAGGTGTGAACTGGAAGAGAACCTTGTTTGGGGATGACTATTACACACAGACTCACAGAGTGTTAGGGGTTGGAAGGGACCTCAAAAGATCATCTAGTCCAGCCACCCTGCCAGAGCAGGACCACCTAGAACAGGTCATCCAGGAACATGTCCAGGCGGGTTTTGAATGTCTCCAGAGAAGGAGACTCCACACCCTCTCTGGGCAGCCTGTTCCAGTGCTCTGCCACCCTCACAGTGAAAAAGTTTTTCCTTATATTAATGTGGAACCTCCTGTGCTCCAGCTTGCACCCGTTGCCCCTTGTCCTGTCATTGGCCATCACCAAGAAGAGCCTAGCTCCATCCTCCTGATGCTCGTCCCTTATGTATTTATAAACATTAATTATAAGTTGTTCAAGAATTTAGATAGAATATGTCCTGTATTAGTTTTCCTCAACAGTATTCTGTATTTCAGACATTATATAATACCATCAAATGTTTTTATGTATCTGTATTACTTCATTTAGTAGACCTGTAATACAGTTTACCATAAAAAACATTTGTAAGAGGGTTGTGCCAGTGTTCTTGCTTACACAATCTCATCAGCATTGTTTATAATCAAAACAAGTGTACTAGTTGAGGTGCAGAGCTCATGTTGCTTTGTGTAAATAGTACTCTCTGTTAGCAAGATCTGCTTCCAAAAAAATTGGCCTCATAGTTAAGTGGATGGAAGAGCTTTTCTGATCCTGTCTACCCTGTCTTAATGCAGCTGGAGATTGAGTAATACAGTGAGCAGCTAAGACTCAGTGTTAACACACAAGTGATAGGTTAGGACCCTACACACACTGACTTTCTTTGTAACAGAAATTAGTTTCAGTGGTAGCAAAGATATTCTCAGTCATCTTCAGGGTTTAGTATCCTGTCAGTTAGGACAGAAGTAGAAGATACTGGAAGCTTCAGAAGGCCCAGTCTCTACAAGTATTTTTTGCTGCTGTTAGTGTTGATAGAACTGTGTCAGCAGCGTTGCAGATTTTGCGGTGGGAAAAATCTGCTAGCAGAGGTGCTGTTGTTGTGGTTGTACTTGCTTTAGAGCAGCGTGGTATTTGTTTGATGCATACTGTGTGCTTAGATGTAGTAAAAGTTGTAGTGCTGTTGTCAAAATGCTGAATTACAAAAAGGATTCCAAAAGGTATAGGTCCTTTTGGATAGCTGGGAGCTTTTCCTGTGACTGGCTTTTCATACAAAGCGGGGTGAGGAAAGTAAAAAAGGAAGAATGTCATGATATCTAGTGGGCTTTTTGCAGTGATGAAAGTTTTCTTCTCTTAAAGTTTATTTCTACTGTTTGCAGGCAAGAGGGGAAGAGAACAGTATAAGGATATAAGGACTTAATTCACATGACAAGTAAATAAAAGGAAGCCCGTTTCTCATGATTTAGTGAAAATTAGTTAATGAAGATTTTGATGTGTCTGATCTTCAGCAGATTTGTTTCTTCCTTATTAGGTTTTCAAACTCAGTATGTTGCAGTAAGAAGGAAACAATTTCTATATGGAAGTAAATTGGAAACCACCCTTAAGAGCCTGGGAAAGTAGGTAGTCTTAGAGGCTAGTTTTTAAAAGCAAAAATAGAATGATTAGATCAGTGGTTATTCATGTGGTCCACAGTGGTCCACCACATGCAACAGGTAAGTCTGTTGTTCTTGTCACTATGTGAGGGTCTGTGCTTTCACTGGCTTGCTAGCTGTTAAATATTGATAATTGCTGTAAGGAGAGCATCCTCAAGCTTTTGAGAACTGCAGACACAGTTTTAGAAGCTTTTTTAATTCTCCAGAGATTGGCTTTATATCTCACTGAAAAAGTATCTAGCAGAAGCAGCATCTTAAATCTGATTTTTGCAGAAGAGTGGCTGTACAAGGTTTGACCAGATGAGCTAACCGGTATTCTGTCTCTGGCATATGTGAAGACATTTGTGTAGAAGCACATATAGTCTCTGCAGACATGTTTTTTGGAGTCTTTCAAAATAAGACTGAGAAGGTAGATAATACAGGACACAAAATACTGAACAAGAACACATGGAGTGTGGAAAGACAAGTGTAGGAGTGACCTTTTCTATAAATGTTCAGGCGCAACATACCTAGTTGCATAGTTCTGTCACTTCTTAGGTAACCAGTACTTTAAATCTATTGCATCTTGGCCTGTCCCTCTTGTTCTTAATCTTGACTTTCCTTTGAGCAAGTCAGGGGACTAACTGACGTTATACCTTGGCTGGAAGTAACCTTCTCTTCCTACCAAGTACTTTACTCCTGTTTTTTTTTTTTTTTTTCCCCTAGGACTTTTCTATACTTAATATTCATCATGTCTTAGTTTCAGACATTGTGCAAGGAAATATACTTCATCCAACACCTTTTTCCCCCTTTCTCTGAGTGCTCTCTGGTGCTTTTGTGGTGGTCTCATTTTTTTTCTTTTCTTTTTTTTCATTGTTTGTTTTTTGAAGGTTATCTTGCTAGCTGCAGAGTCTAATCAGATCCCCCACAATGCTGCTGCTTTGTTTAATCGTAAACCCTCAGTTGCTCTAGAATAGCCTGACTGCAGCCAGTTTGTCATTTAAATACTAATATTTAGTCTGTGTGCATGTGGTTTTTATTTACTGTATTTCAATTAATGAGATGTTTCTTGATTGGCATTGCTTCAGTTGTTGAGCAGTCATGCTTGTGTAGCCTTGCTGCGCTCTTGATAGGAAAGACTACATCTGGTTTTAATTCTAGCAACTGTGTACCTCTATACAGACTGCTGTTTGAGTAGCTATCTGAAGGAAAGGTGGTTCAGCTGGGCTATGAGAATGCTAGGGATGGTGACTAGTCTGGGGAAGGTGTCAGCTAAAATATCTGCGTAGAAGACATAAAAGGAACTGTGACCTACAGCACACAAACTGTAACATGTATGTACTGTTTTCATAATAGTGTCAATATGCTTTCATCTCTTCAAAGGGAAGAATGCTGCATAACCGATCCTGGGTAGAGGCATATATTGCACTCTGGGGGAGTTAGTGAACTTTTTGAAATGGAAAATTCTCCCATCTGTCTTGCAAGTCCTCCCCTAGCCTTGCCCCCTGTTTTGTCCTCACAAAAGCTGTACAAAATGCAGCAAGTAGCTATGGTTACAGGTGGATTCCTCATCAGTCTCTGCTGTGTCACAAAGGTCTAATAAAAGAAGCTGTTACCTATCCTTGATCTGCTGCCTGACCGGTGTAGTCATAGTTCTTGGAAAAAGCCCTAAGGAGCAACAGAGATCCTGCAGCAAGTAGTCTGCACTCAGATTTGAAAGAGAATCTTCCCTTATGCTTCTTGGAAGATATTGTTTAGAATAGTTCTTGATCGTAGTTAATTTTCAGTCTTGCAGGATTGATACTTATATATCAATCATGGAGAGTGGAGGAAATTGAGAGTTTTAGCTGTACTCTTTTTGACCTCATTACTTTCATCTCACTTTGAAAGTGTAAGTGTACATTTTTATTTGAATATCAACATGAGGTATGTTACAGACTAGGTCAAGGTTGTATAACACATCCGTTTTGAGGTTGAGAGAATTTCTTTAAGTCATGGTTTCGTTCTACTGGATGTATGTTAGAATACTGAGATTAAAAATAATGTTCAAACATGGTGTTAATTTTTTGAAACATTCCCTCTGTTTTACATACACTTTCAGTTTTTATTGTCAGAGGTAGTTCAGCAGAGCTCCCCTATTGTCTGTGTTTTCTGGGCAGTTTCAAGTAAAACATTTGAAGCAGACGCCTGACGGACTAATGGAGATATATTACCAACAGGAAGGGAAAGCAGCTTAAGAAGTTTCCTTGTTCTTACTCGGTGAAAATTGATAAAAAGGTACCAAGTGATGATTTGCTTTATATATTACAAGAATTAGTATTTGGAGTGTATCTTTTTGTACTTGCTGTTTTCTGGGCTATATCTGGTTCTTTGTTTTGGAATTGGGATGTCTTTATGTGACCATATGTACAATTTAAGTAGTGTAATCTCCCTTATTTTAAAAGGTCATGGACCAGAGCTTTCTTCAAAAAAAGTATTAGATACTGATGGTTATGAAACCCTCCAGCCTTTTGTATGTTGTTCTCTCTTTTCTTCCTGTCCTTCCCCAATGTGTATTAAAGAGAAACACTTTTGGAGAGAGTGAGATTCCAGGTAAAAATGTAGGAATGTATTCTTTGTCTCCATTAAAGCTTTCATGCTTTACTTGTTCATTTACAGTTCATTGTAACTTGAATCTCTAATGTTACTTGTGAATACAGGTGTTCATTGCATAACTAGATAATTCTTTTAGTTTCTGGAAAACTGTTACTTGTTAAGATTGTATGGATGGCTCTGTCTCTAAGCAAGAAATAAAGTTTAAAGATCATGTTATTTGTAGGAGAATATACCATGAAATTTGATACCTTGGTGTTAGGCAACATTTTTTTCAGTTTGAAAGGAAGCATTTTTGAATTGAAGTGTTCAGACTTTTGACTTACGGCTGAATGTATGTGCACAGCATAACCTAAACAGAGTTGTTTAACAAATTAAGAGCTGCCATTTCCAAAATAAATAATACATTCCCTCCTAAAGACATTTTAACGATAACCCTTTCAAATAGGACTTTATATGATGCTCATATGGAAATAAAGTGCAGATTGTGTGGTAACTATTTGAAGGTATGGGAATAACAGTTTTGTTTCTCTTTTCAGTATGATGCTGTTCCAATCCAGTCTAGTGTGGTGCTGTGCTCCTGTTCATCCCCATCAATGGTGAGGAACCAAGCAGATTCCAGCACTCCATCTGTCATTTCCACCTGTGGCAGCAGACAGGGAACTAACATGGAGGGCACTGCAGCTGAATCAAGATCTAGTCCAAACTCCTTGCAGCAACATACGGGACAGCAGGCTCCACAGCCTCGAAAGAAACGACCTGATGACTTCAAATTTGGGAAAATTCTGGGTGAAGGATCTTTTTCAACGGTAACTTTACTTCTTATAAAAAGTGCCAAATATCTTAGATAAACTTCAAAATTTAGTGTGCAAGTAATATTGCTGAGATTTAAATCTAGAGAGAGCAGCTTGTGGAGCAAATGAGGGAGACATAGTGTTTTAAGTTTAACTATTAAAATTGTTACACTAAATATGAGTGCTGACTTTTCAAGTACAGTGGAACTTCTGTTGAGTTTAAAAGGTATCCTGATGACTTGATACTTGCATTTTTAGGAGACATTGCTTTCTAATGTAAGCTTGATAGCATAATGGGTTATGTTAAAATTTTATGATATAAAGGATTGGAACTGGGGTAGGAGTTTGTCATGTGCCAAGGCACATTGCTGGCTCATGTTCAGATTGGTGTCTACCAGGACCCCGGGTCCTCTTCTGCAAAGCTGCTTTCCAGCCCATCGGCCCCCGGCGTATACTGGTTCATGGCATTATTCCTCCCCAGGAGGAGAAGTTTGCGGTTCAAAAAGGGGAACTGCATGACATTCCTGCCTACCCGTTTCTCCAGTCTGTTGAAGTCCCTCTGGGATGGCAGCACAACCCTCTGATGTATTGGCACCAGAGCTCTTGATCTGTGGGACGTGTATCGTCACGTTGTTATCAAAACACCTTGTTAAAAACCGTATGCTTTGTTCTTACCAAGCATGGTTGTAGATTCAGAGATCTCATTGTACTTCCCAAGATCTTCACCAATATTCTGACTGAAAAGTGTTCATCTCAAAAGGCAGGGAACTTCATATTACCATGCCTCCAATGACAGCTTCAAATTTAAAAAAAAAAGAAAAGATGAAAAATAATCATTTGCTCAGGGTCGTAATGAATATATTCTGTTTTCTTGACTTCTGTTAAGCTAAGACAAACTCTACCTGGTGCCGGTGTTGTATTTCAAATTCAGCAGAGATGCACATGATCTCGCCTCAGGGGATTTTTTTTCTTCAGGGCATTCTGCAATTTTGTGGGGCCACATTCTGCAGCTGTAACTGTTCTTGGAGCCATGCTTGATATTAACAGATCCTCTGTCCTTTCAAAGTAATGAGAATGTACTTGCTTTGTAGACAGCTTCAAGATCCTGTCAGAGTAGTATCTGTTAGGTGGTGGCAGAATTATGATTATCATGTTTGGGTAGGCATATGTTGTGGTTTAACCCCAGCTGGCAACTAAGACCCACACAGCTGCTCGCTTGCTGTGTGCCCCCTGCCCTGCTCCCCCCACCGCCCATGGTGGGATGGGGAGAGAATCATAAAAGCAAGAAAACTCTTGTGTTGAGATAGAGACAGTTTAATAAGTAAAGCAAAACCCATGCACACAAGCAAAGCAAACCAAGGAATTAATTCGCTGCTTCCCATCACAGGCAGGTGTTCAGCAATCTCCATGTAAGCTGGGCTCCATCAGGCATAGTTGTGACTTGGGAAGACAAAATGCCGTAGCTCCAAATGTCCTCTGCTTCCTTCTTATTCGCCTGGCTTTATATGCTGAGCGTGATGTCGTATGGAATATCCCTTTTGTCAGTTGGAGTCAGTTGTCCCAGCTGTGTCCCCTCCCAGCTTCTTATGCACCCCTAGCCTGCTCGCTGGTAGGGTGGGGTGAGAAGCAGAAAAGGCCTGGGGTCTGCGTGAGCACTGCTCAGCAGTAACGAAAACATCCCTGTTATCAACACTGTTCTCAGCACAAATCCAAAATGTAGCCCATACTAGGTACCGTGAAGAGAATTAACTCTGTCCCGTCCAAAACCAGCACAGCATGTTTTCCTGCTCGCCTCCTTTTATGCAGCTGGTAATTAATTCCCCCCCC